AAAATATTTTTTATCTTCACAGCCTTAAATGCAAAATATTGGTCCTTCGGCTGATATAATTGTATGAAATTTGTATGAAAATAATGAAATAAAGAAAATATTTTTCTTTAGAGAAGAAATAACTACCTTAATTTTTTCAAATTATTATTTTGTATTTTTTTTTTTAATTTTTTCAAATTATTTATGTTGTAATTTTTTCCCCCATATTTTATATTGTAGATCTTTGTCTTGATTCTAATAATACTAATTAATGTGTACTTAGTTAAACATGTTTATTTTTATTTGTTTACTGCTTTTCCTTTCCCCCTACTACTAACTTCCCTTACTTTAAAATAAAAACTTTACCTTTTGTAATAAAAACCAATTCATTGTGTGCTTTGTAATTTCAAAAGTGTTTACCCTACAAACCACTTTAGTCGGTTTATATAATGGCTTTTTATAACCACAACACGATGCAAACAAAATAATTGAATCGAAAAAAGAAAACTATAAAAAAATGGCAAGAGCTCAACCTCAGCCATTATGGGTTAATGCAAGTAGTAAACACTGAACTGAACCAAAAAAAAAAGACTCATTACATCTTTGTTCTTGTTGCTGGCATCCTTTTTACAACAAGGGTCATTAAATGGTAGTTTACTCCTCTGGCAGTGCATTTTTAACTTCTCTACTTTGAGCAGTCTATTCTAATAAAAAAGCAAAGCAAAAAACCAACTAATTATGAAGCTCTCATTCTGAAAACGGCATTAGATGGATAAACATGGAGTGTTAACTAGAAAAGGAACTTCACGCCGTCATTTCCTGCCCAGCAGAAGTAATCAACTAAAGAAGATGTTTAATGGCTTGTACTGACTGAAAATTAAGTATTTCTTGTAAATATTTAAATGGATATATATTTTGCATGTTCTATTTTGTTTCTTTTGCAAATTGATTGATGACTTTATTTTCTTGTCAATTTATTTTCAATTCTTTTGCTACAAAACATATTTGTCAATATGGAATAATTACTTTTTGACTTTTGTTTTTGACATGCCATAGAAATGTTTGTTGTTTTTGTTGTTGTTATTATCCCAAATCCCGTTTGTCTGTCTGTCTTCTGGTATTGGCCTTTTTTTGCCATACAATAAAATTCTAAGAAGGATACAACTGTTTCGTGCACAGACCCAACAAAACAGACAATGTCTCTGCTGGTTGCTGCCGCTCACAGAAATACACAGGTATTTCATTTTTCATCATAAATATTTGATACGTTTTTTGTTTTTGCTTCGAATTCCGAAATCAGTCAATTTGTTACGCTGTTTGTTGGAATTGTTGTTCATTTCAAAACGTAAAATAATTTAGATTTTCTTTAAAATAAAAAAATAAAAAAATTAAATAAAAATAAGAAAAATAATTAAATCCCAAATAACTATTAAGCTAGCATAACAAACAAAAATATATATTTCCCAAGGCAATTAAACATTTAATTGGCAATTTAGTGGAAATTATTTTTAAATAAATTAAAAATTTTTTGTATCAAAAATATTTCAAATTTAATGAATGACTCATTGTTAAGATTGATGTTTTGCTTTCCAAAATGATATACATAAATTGATTTCTGTTTTTTGTTATTTAAAATATGTATGTTATCTAACATTCGATTTGTTTATATTTTTTAATTAAAATAAATTAATTTTTTCACCTTAATCCACACGAAAAATATGTAAATGGTGTTTGACTTTGGGAAATTAGCATAAATTCCAAATCAAAAAGAATAAAAAAAGATAAATGGTTGGGGTTAAATAATTTAGACTGTTAAAGAGGAAAATTTAAAAAAATGGTAAATATTATTAAATTATTTTTAATTTAAATGATTAAATTACAAAGCCAAAATGAAACCAACAACAACATTCATGGTCCATAATTAAGTAATGGTTGGCTTTTAATGGAAATGTCAATATGTACACACAAAAGACTGTAATTTAAACAGAAATCAAGTGGATACGAAATAAAAAAACAGAGGCGTATTAATTTAAAAATTCCAACAATTCTGGAATACAAATTTTGGAGTTTCAAATTTAAATTTAAATTAAATGTATTCCAAGTTTTTACAAAAACTCCTGCTTGCAAAATTTTTCCTCCACGTCCCTGTAAACTGCATGCATTGACCATTGTTTGCTATTTAAATACTACCGCTTTATTTTTTGCATTTTTATCTCTGGCCTTTTGTGTGTGTGTGGCATATCCTTTATATTTATTGTTAAGTGTTTATTAAATGCAAACTTTGCAAACAATTGAATTGGTTTGTTATTGGTGCTGTTGTTGCTGTGCCCAACACTTTCCTATATCAAAAGCCTACATGAAAATATTTGTTTGTGAGACTTGGGAGTTTGTATTGGGGTTTTCAGGTTGATAATAATTGTTTTTGTGCAATCCAACCAACCAAACAACAACACCTTGATATTACTACAACACAAATATCCACAGCATATGTCGTACTAGTGTCCTTTAAAGTTCCGTTCCATGGAGTGGAGTGTGTACATGTGTCTATTAGACCGGAACCAAACCCCGTGTTTTTCTCATATGTACATTCTGTGGACATGTAGTTGTGTGAATTCCTTTTTCCACAATGAAAAAGCCTTCTGACAAGCAAGCAAACATACACAACAGCAGCAGAAAAAAGAAAACAAATATGGCGTCACATATATGTTTTCATTTTTCGGAAAACAGGGAGGCAAGGACATAATCTGCAATCATGGCTTACCAAAACGGCGTCACCAGTGTTGATATTGCTGTTGTCGTTGTCGGTGTTGTTGTTGTTCTTATTACGACAATTCGACTCGACACTCTCAACAACAATTTAGCAACCAATGCTTGTTGTACTGCTGCAAGTGACAGTTAAATTTTTTCTCGGCTATTCGTTAAGCTATAAATTTTTTGGCACCTCACTTGTTAGGCTTTCAGGGCAACTTTAATGGAAAATATTTCAATTTGAACTTAGAGAGTATTTGGAAGTTTAAATAGGATTTAAGAGAAGTACACATATAAAATAACTTAAAAATAGAGAAAACATAATTTCAAGAAATTAAAAAGGTAATAGCTTGAACATCTATTGAACTGATCTCTGATGTTATTTCTGGATTCAAATTTCTCTTTGTGGCCAAAAACACCCTAAAGATACTGGTTGACTGCAAAAACGGGCCCACTGTAATACCATTATCTTTTGGTGTAAATCTAAAATCGTCTCCTACTTGAAATTTATTTAATATTGAGTCATTTCAAAACTCATTTAATACCATTTTTTTGAAAAACCTGCTAATATTGTTAACAATAATTTCAAAAAACTGGGTGGATACCAGTTCAAAAATTGCATATCATTGGAAAGTAATTAAAATGTTAACATACATATGAAATACCACAACAACAAACCCTTTTTGGAATTGATTGCGGCGTCGGCAATATAAATACAAGATTTAAGACATGATGATGGATTAATTTTCAAAAAGAAAAAAATTGAAGAGCAGCGTATTGGAAAAGAGATAAAAATAACAAATATTATAAAGCTAATCAAAAAAATATGATATTTATGATTGACGTTTAAGTTACAGGAGTTTGGAGGAGGATTACAAAGCAAAAAAAAATATATATATGGATAATTAGAAAAAAATAGTTTGAAAAAATTTTTAATAAAAAAAATCAAGGGGAATACATGTTAATTAAGTACATTTTCAAATTTTGAAAAACATTTACAAGAATTTATGTGAATGTAAATAAATAAAGTTTTAGGAGTTAGAATTGAACCAATAAATTATTGGTACTTCAAAGAAAAATATCATTTAGGACATTTATTATTCATTTATTATCCACATATTGCCTCCCCCTATCTCTCTCCATAAAATCCTTAATGACATAACATATTTATTGATTTTATTTGTATACAAAATATTTTATATACGACATGCCAACAGCAGCAGCAGCTAAGTGTTTTAGCAGAGGCCTTTTTCTGTGTAACCAACCACTTGAACATTTACCACTTCTCTTTGACACTTTCATGCTGATTTGACACGTGTCAAAACTTCCGTCAACATTTGGTGTAATGTGAAAATGTTAAATAAAAAATAAATATGGTCTCTAAATATTATAGGCAATGAAAGGGAAATGAATTGAAGGCCAAAGGATGGTGGGTGGTAGCTAAAATATCTTTGAACTCTAATCGATGTCCATGACCAACCAAAGAAATGAAAATTGAAACAATGCAAATTGTTTGTTGCCAGGGAAATTAAATAAGGATTCTTATATTAAATATTGTCATCTAAAGAGTTTTTCAAAATTTTTAAAAATAATAATTCCAATAAATTTGGGATTTTATTGTCCCCAGGCAACAGCTGCAATATTTTTGATTTTTATGAATTATTGGCAATGTTTTTTAATTAAGATGTGCGAATTTTTTGGCTGGCAAACTGGTTTTGAATGGATTATATTATTTTAAAACAAAAAATATGTATATTGAAGAAGATGTTCTTTTGAACAAAACAAAACTCGCAGTCCATTATAAAATTTTTATTTTATTTTTCTAATCCTGAAATCCTTTCTATTTTTATATTTCTTTCTCTAAAGATTAACTTTTTGCAAAGCCAGGTTTTTGTAACGACTTTAAGAAATCCGTTAAGTGTTACACGAAAAAATATCGGCTAGAAAAACAAACAAACAGTTTCTGGTCTAAGTCAAGGCGTGAACTTGGCTAATCTTTTTTTGACCCCTCAGATTATAAATTTGACAAAAAAGATTAACAAGATTTACATGTGAAAGCAAATCGAAACAGGTAGCCTGCCGCTACGCAAGGTGCACACACAACTTTATGACTTCTTGACAAAACGAAGGGGAAATCCTCACAGAAGTCAGTGCAAACGCCTACCGATTATAGAGTTTTGTTTTTATATGATTCGGGAAAATCCCCCCAGATTACAACAATATCCGTTTTATAAAATATAAAGTGATAAAATATTTTTGGCTGACGAACTTACCTGTATGCGTTCTCTTGTGGATCTTGAGATTTTCACTGCGTGCAAAGACTTTTCCGCATCCGGGATGTGGGCAGGCAAATGGCTTTTCACCGGTATGGACACGAATGTGATTGACCAATTTGTATTTGGCCTTGAAGGGGCGACCGTTGCGCGAACAACCAATCCAGTAACAAATGTGGGTGGTGCATTCGGGTCCTCCAACATGTTCGACAGTCAAATGGGTCACAATCTCATGCATCGAATGGAAGATTTTGTTACATGTTTTGCGATTGTTGGGTTGGCCGGGCTGATCGGGATCTATCCACAGACATTGCATTTCCTGTTTAATGGCCGAGGCTGAGGTGGGTGGCTGGTGACGCATGTAGCGCAAAAATGCCCCAGCACCGGCGGGATGCATACCCATGTGTTGGGCATGATGTGCAGCATGTACCGACGGAAAATTGGCATGATGTTGCGCATGGGCGTAGGGATGGGTGGCATAATCGGCCATACCCATGCGCATTTGATGCGAATGGTGGTGATGGGCCGCAGCGTGGTGATGTGAGTGGAAGGGATGCTGGCCAAAGGAACCGGTTAAATCCGGATGATTGGCATGTGAGGCAGGAAAGGTGGGGAACAACATAGAATCGGTGGCACTGGCACCTTGGCCCACAGCTTGAGCTGTGGCCGACCCAGACATGTAATCCTGTTCGCTGCGGCGGCCCAACAAAAAGTCACGTGAAGAATAGGAACCCAATTGGGTATTGAAGGGTCCATAGCCACTGTTTTGATAGGCCGATGAGGGTGATGACATATCACTGGAAATGCCCGAAGACATGGCTGATGACATTAGGCCACTGGTATCCAATTGTTGTTGGGGATCTTCTTGGGGCGACTGTTGTTGTTGCTGCTGTTGCAACTGCTGGTGGCCAGCTAAATCTGTCTGCTGTTGGGCAGTATTTGTGGGTGACATGCGAATGCCGTAGGTGGCCAAATGATGTTGACTGGTGGTCGTTGGGTCAATGAAAGCGTTCATCATCATTTTGAGGAAGTGTTTGTTTTGTTTTTTCCTTTCTATTTATCAAATTCTTTACAAAGTATTTATTCTTTATTAAACTTTTTTTTCACAAATTGTTACACAATTTTCTTTTAAATTATTTTCGTTATTTTTGTTTTAAACTTTTCTTATCATTTTTTTCTGATCACTTGGAATTTGTTTTGGAATATTTTTTATTTTATTTGCTTGAAATCAATTGAAGTTGTTTACACTTGCTAAAAGGTAATCCGTTATCAAGGGTTAAGGTTTTGCTAATAAAATTCTGTTAATTTTTGTAATTCACTTAAATCCATACTCTGGGGAAAATGTATTTTCGTTATTTTGTTCGATTATTCGAATCGATTTGTTTTGTTTATTTTGTTTTATTTAGCGAATGAATTTCATAAAATTTGTTAACGCGTAATAGAGAACCACAGCATGCATGGGCAAGCGGTGATCAGCACAACTCTCGACTAAACTTAACGTTACAAGATGCGCAGCAGGACTGAACTGACTCCTGAAATATTTTACTCAGCAACGATGTGAACACAGTCAAATGTTGTGTATAACGACCCCTGGGTCGTATGGTGGTGGTGGTTGCTGTGCTGCGCTATGCTGTGTTGTTGCTATTGTTGGTTGCCGTAAGGCTGCTGTGGTTGGTAGGCTAACGTGGTTGTTGTTGGTTTTACTTGCTGGGCTGCTTGCCTGACTGCCTGCCTGGCCGCTGTTAATAATGAAGCCAGCCAAAGATGACGACGGCAACAAATAATGACGATGACGACGAGAGGTGACTACAAACAAACGAGGCACAATACGCGAATGCCGATGAAACAACAAAAACACAACACGGCGTAGTGGCACTAGTTCTTGTTGTTGTTAGCACTGTGTGTAAACGACTGTGTATACCACAGGGAATCGTATGCCACATACCGAGGTGTTGCAGCATGTTAACTCACAAAAACAATAACAAAATGTTAGACAGCCGAAGGTGGAAGGGAGAAAACGTACACTTCAAGAGAAATGTAAACCAAGCAAGAGTAAAGAGCATGGCTACACTCAATTGTATACTGGTTATATTAGTTAATGGTGAGTTCAGGCAACTGAGGTGAATTGGGTGCAATGGGGGAGAGAACGAGAAGACACATACTCCAATTAAATATAAATGGCTGCTCCGTTGGGAGATATGCAATTGAATAGAAAGAGATGTGTGTTTTGGTGGGACATAAAATCCAATTGGAAATTTGGTGAATTATTCCACACAAGTTAGAGTGAAAAGAAAGACGCAGAGCACTTTCTTATCTCTTTTTAATTTCCCCTCTTTTCATGGATTAATATTAAATATGAAGTTCGTTAACAAGTTGTAGTTGTTGTTTTTCTTAGATTTGTTCTGTTGTTGAGGGGTTTTTCACAATGGTGGTTATTAACCGAAAACCATAACCACACCACGAACATGTTTTGCGGAAACTGGTTTTATGTTGATATTTCCTTCCTTTTTGTTGTTGTTGCTGTTAATATGGTTTGGGTAATTTGAACACCCCCACCTATACAAACGGCACATTGTTGTTGTTGTTAATTTGGGGTATGTTGGGGAAATTGTGGGGCGTGTTTACGCATGACCACTATTTATATTATTTACAATTGGTTAATTTGGTAAAAAATAAAAACTATTTGTTACCAACTACGTCTGCTATGTACATGAAATTAATAATTAATGACTCGGCCATTAACAGCATTTATTTATGGCTGATAAATTTCTTATTAATTAAATATAATGTTAAACAATTTTCAAATTTAATCAGTTGAGTTTGTTTTTTGTTTAATTTCATGAAGTTTTTTTGCGTGGCTTTGATAAAATATTTCCCAATCACTTTTAATGGAAATTGAAATTAATTTTACATTTTATTTTTTTCGGGTTATTTATTTCTTTTTTGCAATATGTCTGAATACTTTTTTCTATATTATTTGTTTACACGTGTATGTGATAATGCTATATTTTTTTAATAATTTAACTAAATGTTTAAGATAATTACTATAGTATAAGGGTCATATATTATACTTAGTTGGAAATTAGGCTATAATTTAAATATGCAATTAAAATTAAATACACACGTTTTATTTAATATAAATTAACATTAATAAATATAGTTAAATAATTGATGTTGGAAATTTTTTATAATAAATTCTATAATATATGGACTAAAATTATGGTAAATTATTTTTTCAGTCCTGTATTGTTTTTTTCTCTTTAACACATTTTTGTTGTATTGAACCAAAATAAAATATAAATAAAATAGAAAAAAAAAAAAATAAATTTAAAACTACAAATACATTGTATTCACATGTCAAAAATCCAAAATTACACATGTTTAAAATAGACGAAATGTCTTTTTGTTCATTTAGAAAATATTATTTTAAAAACGATGTCTAAGAGATAGTAGTTATACATTTTGAAATAAAACTAGCTCGAAGATAAATCAAAGAACATAATTTTAAATATTTTATTTTTATGTAGGACAAATATATTGTCAAGCTAGACAACGCTAACTACTCGATATCCACAAAAATATTACACTATTAAACAGCAACGTACACAGGATTTCATTTCGGGGGGGGGGCCCGGTAGTACAAAATGAAAAAATTCGCTGTTGCAAACATAAATTTACTGTGAAAAAAATTTTACATTGGAGAGGGATTATTTTTTATTTATTATTTTTATTTTTATTTTATTTTTTTACGAACAATTTAGAATTTTTTATATTAAAAAATTAAATTTATATTGATTCCAAAATAGTTTCACATATCGCTCATTTCTTGCAAGACCGGCATATATAAGAAATGAAAAACTCACATCTTACTAGGAACAGCGGGATTTCCACAGCTTCTCAATTAGAGAGTGAAACAGATATACATCTGAAATTTTTATACAACATGAAGTCTGATATAGCGAAAAATTCTGCATTCTAAATGTCGCGATTTTGATCTATGTCGGTCTTGCAGGAAATGAGCGATATATGAAACTATTTTGAAATCAATATAAATTTAATTTTTTAATATAAAAAATTCTAAATTGTTCGTAAAAAAATAATTAAAAATAATAAATAAAAAATAATCCCTCTCCAATGTAAAATTTCTAGATGCACGAATTATGGGCGTAACTTTTAAGTCGACGAGAAAAATATGTCCAAACTTCTTTATTTCTCCTGACATGAACCAAAAAAAAACAAAACGGTATGATATAGAAACATATTTGATCTTCCAGTAAAACCATTGGCGAGGTCATGTGAGAACCCAAACCTTCCATTTCAGCTGCCATATTAAAGTTGTCTTTTTGAAATATAAATTGTGCACATTTTGATCAGAGTATACTTTTCGATCATCTTTGGTATTTTTAAGGTAATAGCCGCGTTCCGCAACCTAATTTTTAATATGTAATTTTACATTTCTGTTTCTCATGGAATAAAAAATTTTCTGACATATTTTGAAAGACCTCAAGGCTCATTTTTTTAACGAAGTGTGTAAATCATGTTTCAGTTTCACAGACAAAAACATCCTTTTTAAAAAATAAAATATGGGTCTATTTTCGACATATCATATTTTTTAAGGTTGTTTCCGTTTTTATTTTGGTTTCTTAGAGGATAAGAAATATCTTTTATTTTCTTTTTTTGCCCAGGCAGGTATTTTTAATTGTATTTTTTTTCAAATATTTAAAAATAACAAAATTACTACACCTATGAACTCTCTCGCCTTAATTCCATAGTTGCACTAACAAACAAAAAACATTAAATTATAAATAATCTGAGAGGCACTTTTCCTTCGGACACTTGTCAGGACTATAGCTTCAATATTTAATAATGTAAAAATGTATTTTTATATTTATCAAAGTGTTCTTTTTTTTCGAAAATTACAATTCGTTTATCAATAATAAATCATAGGCATTTTATTTTTGCACTTTAGTATACGTTGTATTACATCAAAATACACCTATTAAATGTGTAAATGTGTGACTACTTTTTGGCGAGATTTATTAACGATAATACATTTAACGTTTAGCGACAGCATTTATCTGGTCCATTGGGATTGTTGGCTATCAGCAGTAAAAATAGAAAAAAATCAAATTCATCTATTAGAAGTTAGTTAGCAAGCAATTTTCATCATTAGAATGGCTAATGGAACATCTGTTTATATTCCCAGGATTTCGTGGCTGCCCCTTTGTTACAGCATTTCATAACGGCAGCGAGATGGATGTGTAAATACAATAAAAATCATTTGGTGTTGTTTTTCTTTGGTTTGTTGTAACCCCTAGCCACTAACATGACTTGCTTGCTTGGTTGTCGTTGTGGGCCGATTACATTTCGTTGGGTTGGTTATGTAGCGTTGCGTTGTGTCGCTTGGCTGTGTTTGTGTTTCAATTCAACTGGGCGTTGGAGGTGTTAACAATTTTCTATCGATTAGTATCAAACTGCGTTGTGTGTTCGATTGTTGGGCTGTTCTGTTCGTTCTTCTCGCACTTCTTCCATAATCCCAAATTAATTGAATTTGACTTTTCAAATCATATTTCGTATTTCTTTTAATTTCTGAGGGGGATACTAAGGAATTTGAGAACTCTGAGAACTGATGGTGAGGGGTTATTTGGGAAAATATGTTATTTTGGAATCGTAGATGATCTTTGGCGAAAAATGAAATTTAATATTTTGAACTTTAAGAAATGTGCCATGGAGAAAGGTCAAATAAAACAATTTCTATGTCACTGATGTCATCACAGGGAAGAAGTTGCGACATAATCACGCCCAAAATCATATAGTCTCATATATTATTTAACAAAAATACTTTCCATGCGTAGTGAAAATATTATGTAGAATAACCTATGGAATTATGAATTACTCCATCGCATTCACTTTGCAAAATATATAACTTGAAACAAGTAAAAATGTCGTGAAGTTCGACCGGATCGAACTTTTTACTATATCCACCATGAGGTGCACATCAAAATTCCTGTAATAGATCAGATCGTAATGATAATTTTCTGC